TGTGAACACAAAATGGATCATTTACTAAGCAGACCAGTGATAGGACAAGAACAGTGCGGGTTCATTAAAGACACTGAAACAGTGAATGCAATATTTATGCTCAGAATGTTACTAGAAAGAGCAATATAAATGCAGAAGAACGTGTACCTATGTTATATAGACTAATCAAAGGTTGTTCGACAAATTATGCAACAAAGATCTTTTTAAGCTGCTCAACAACCTTGACATATTCGGGAAAGACATCAAAATAAAAAAATATATATTCTACGGGCAGGAAACCGCCTGCATACGGATAAAAATGTGTTCAGCAGTTATACAAAAATAGAAAGGGTCGTAAGGCAAGGATGTGTCTTCTCACCGGACTTATTCAACCTATACAGTGAGGCAATTCTGAGAGAATTGGAAATCCTACTAAGATTCATCATTGGCGGCCACAATCTTAACAACATAAGATATGCAGATGACACAGTGCTGATAGCAGACATGGAAAAGAAACTAAAGACCTACTGACGGTAGAGAACGAAAGCCAGAAGAGGAGACGAAGCATGCATGGTCATCAGCAAAAAGTTGAGCCCAAAGTGCGATTTACAGGTCGGGGACACTAAAATGAAGCAAGTACAGAAATTTAAATATCTGCGAAGTGTTCTAACAAGGGACGGAAAGTGCAACAATGAGATGGCAAAGCGTACTGGGATGACCAAAGACGCATTTCAAAAGCTAGGCAGAGTATTACGAGACAGAAAGGTTTTCGTTGGAAACAAAGAAAACAGTACAGAACTGTTAAGTGATATTTTTTCATTCTATATGGGAGCGAATGCTTGACAATCTCCTCAAAGATGAAGAGTGGTTCTACAGAAGGATGCTACAGGCCGAACATGCTAGCAACGACGAGGTTTTTGGAGAGAATAGAAATAAAGAGGAAAGTTATACATAACATCAAGAAGAGGCAGCTGAAATTTCTAGGACACGTAATGAGAAAGGAGGGCTTGGAAAATCTGATACTCACAGGACGGTTAGAGGGTAAGTTTGACAGGGGAAAGTAATGCGTGTCACCTTAATGGTCTTCACTAAGTGGGTGGCGGAACGCGGTCTGGGAGAAATATCAAAAAGACAAAACTTATTAATAGCTACAAGGTACAGGAGTAGGTATTATTCATATATTATGTCTATTTATTTTAGTTTTAATCCTTTCAAGTCCACGAATTAATTTCTTGGTGACTGTAGAAAATAGATCCATTCAATGTGATCGGTTCTGACTTAGAGTCTCGACTCCAGCCACTTTCTCACCGACGTAATGTGGCTTCCCTCTTTCTTTTCTATAAATATTTGCATGTCATCTACTCCGAGGAGCTATTTTCACTGGTGCCCCGACTGGGTGAATTTAAGCGTGCTACTAGGTTGGCAACTCGGTCCCACCCCATTTTATTGTCGAAACAGTTAAATGTAACCGCCTATCTTTAAATGTAACAGCTTCTTCTCTCGCACTTCCCGACAGTTGAACTCCCTTCCTCTTACTATAATCTTCAAAAATTTAAATGTAATGTCAATTGACATCTTCTGTTGCCTTGATCTTCGTTCTTAATTTTATCCTCCTCAGTTCCTCTTTTTATCCTTTCCTCAAACGCCCCACCTATCAAACAGTATTTTCCCTTATTTATATTCTCTGAAGCTCTTGCTTACTAGTGGTACTCCCACCTTGCTTGGGGTGAAATGCTTAAAAATGGTAACAGAAAGATTTAGGAGAGAAAAGAGAAAGACAACATTTATTAAGTACTACAAAGAGCGGAAAATAGTAGAGGGCTATGATCGCCAACGTCCTAAAGGGACACAGCATACAGAATTTAATCTCTTCTTTCTTCGTCTTTTTGCTGTTTTTCTCTTAACTAGACCCCCCCCCCCTTCTTAAGTTTCATCGCTCTGTTCTCTTTATTTTCTTCCTGTCTGGCTTTTACCATTTATTCTTTGAACTGGTCTTTCTTCTTCTATTATCGGATGTCATAGGTTATGAATTCTTCCCGAGAAAAGACAAAATATTACAAAAATACTTTTAAATAAAATAAGGCATAGAAGCAGCAGCAGCAGATTACAAAAGTGAACATTGGTCGACAAAACGAAAGATAGAAAACAACAGAAAGAAAAACTACCCAGGGAAAATAAGTAGGGATCGCTTTCAATAGATTGTCATTCGCGCTTTGCTCACACGGTATCACTGACCCTGACGGCATCACGTCTCTCAACTCTGTTGGGATGCACATTTCTCAGTAAGCGAAGTGAAAGCTGGACAGCCTCAGTTACAAACACTCTCTCTCTCTCTCTCTCTCTCTCTCTAGTTCACCATCCCCGAATCGGGCAATGTTCACCAAAGTTTTTTTTTTTGTTCATTTCCAATACATGGTAATGGTTACTGCATCCTGCTTCGTCTGTTGCTATATTTCTTCTCTTTTAACAATCACCGTCTACATACAACTTCATGATGTATTCTAATTTGAATATTCTTCATATTTTTTAAGAGACACTCCTTCTCAGTTTGCTCAACATGCAATAAAATACCCTGAAACTAAAATAATCTTCAACACAAGAAACCCCAAAATGCGTGTCATATTTCATTTTACACAAACCATGATATCTGTAAAGTAATCGATTCTGACCAGATATTTCGACTGAAGTCACTTTCTCACCGACGTGATATGACTTCCTTCTGTCGCTTCGACAAATATTTTCATGGCAACTACTCTGACGAGTTTTTTCTATTGGTATCCTGACTGCATGAATTTGAGCGTGCTACTAGACTGGAATCAAGGTCCTGCCCTTTTACTGTTGAAATAGCTAAATACAAACATCACTTCTATTCCAGCAGTTTAACCTTCTCACAATTTCCACCTGTGGAACTCGCTTCCGTTTACTTGATTCCCTGATAACTAAAAGAATCAAAAATTTAAATACAACTTCAATCGCCTGATGAGCTTTTTCCCCTGGTATCATAACTATATGAATTTGAGCGTGCTACTGGACTGGAATCAAGGTCCTGCCCTTTTACTGTTGAAATAGCTAAATACAAACATCACTTCTACTCCAGCAGTTTCTTTTTCTCGCAATTCCACCCTGTGGAACTGCTTTCCATTTACTTACTTCCCTGATAACTATAAGATTCAAAAATTTAAATGCAACTTCAATCATTATCTTCTCTCTTATTGAATACCGTTCATTTTTTCGCCTTTCCTTTTCTCTTTTTTTTTTTTATTCTCCGTGTTCTCTTTCACTTGCACTCCCTGTAACTGCCCCATGTGTATTAGTGGTATTACCACTTTGCATGGGGTGAAATTATTTTTTTTAATTGTAAAAATATAGAATGTATGGTTGTCAGCAAAAGGAACTTCCAAGATGCGAGCTACAAACTGGAAAAAATGTGACACGGAAATCTAAAGATGCATTAGAAATATCGAAAGATGCCTTGCAAAAGATAAGCAAAATATAATGAAACATGAAACTTTTGTTAGGAACCAAGAAAAAGTATTAAACTGCTATGTAATATTAATCCTCTTATATGGCTATGAATGCTGTGCAATCTCTTCCCATATGAAGAGACTTGAGACAACAGAGATCTGGTTCTGCAGAAGGAAGCTGAGAATGCCATGGACAGAATATTTTAGTAACAGGCAAGTTTTAAGAAAAATGATAAAAAAACGGACACTTTTTCTTTTCTTTTTTTTAATCGTTTCGCCGTAAGCAAGGGGACAATGCCACTAGGACGTAAGGGTCACAGTGTGTGAAAGTGAAAAAGAATTAGATTGAGAAGATTGAAAATGGGGAAGAATGAGGAAGAAACAGACTTCGAAATTCGGAAGATGGCGGTTGACGTTGCATTTAAATGTTTAGAAATTGTAGTTATCAGGGAATCAAGAAGTCGGAAATCCACTGGTGAGAAGTGCGAGAAAAAAAGCCTGTTAGTGGCAGAAGTCTCGTTTGCATCTAGCTAGTTCAACAGTAAAGCGGTGAGACCTCGCTGCCAATCTATAGTAGCACGCTTAAATTCATGTAGTTTGGACACTAGGAAAAAAAAATTCATCCGAGCAGTTGCCATGTAGAAAATTGTACAACAGACAGAGGAATGTTACGTCACGTTGGTGAGAAAGTGACTAGAGGCGAGAGGCTTGGTCATGATTGGTTTCTTGCAGACCCTTCTCTAAATTTTGATAAGCATCTTTAGATGCAGAGTAGGTGCACCAGATCAGATATGGCAACACTATTCAGTACACGGACGAATAATGCTTCTATTTATAATTAGAAAAAGACAATTGAAGTTTCTTGAACACATAATGAGAAAAGAGTGCGCCTTTGTAAAATTTATACACTTACCGGATATATTGAATAAAAAAAAGTGGAAAGGTACACAGCGAGTGCACCTGATTAGTTTGTGTAAATTGGTGGCAGAACAATTACAGAAAATATTGTCTAAAGCTACAAACGACACGAAGTTGTAGCAAGCCATGATTGCCCGCATTCTGAAATAATTTGGCTAATAAAATATATCTCTTCTCTACTACCACGAGTTTTCATTTATATATCAGCAAGCTTATCTTTCAGAACATTAATAGTGTAACTCGAAAAAAATTGTGATCTTTGTACTATATTTACTCGTAAAAGAAAATCCAAGACCAAGTCTGTTGGGGCGCACCCACCTTCTAACGAGTAATGGACTGGTCCCTCTTATATAAGTCAGCTCTAGAGAGAGAGTGAGAAGAGCGTCAGAGAGAGAGTCAGCGTGAGCAGTCCAGATAAGCTTACCCGGTACATACCGTTGGACTATAGACTTTGGATATTGTTTTCGTACTAACCAACCTTCGTTCTACTAATCACTCTATTGTTAATTGCTTTTATGAATATACCAGTATTTTCCTCTACAACTGTGTTTGTCTTGATTCATACACCGACACGCGGGAAACTCACAACATCTCAAAGTCAAATTTAGTAGACCTTGAATAATTATTTGCACTTCCCTACTAGTCTCGATCAATCACAACTTTTCTTGCCTAAATAAAAGAACTCTACTTGGATGCACAATGTTGTTAGTTTCTTTTGTTCTGTTTTGTTTTGTTAGCTTTTCGTTGATAAATGGGTTGTGATGTGAAATGTTGACCATTTTGATTTACCGTGATCGTAATTTTTGATGTTGAAATTGCGGGACTGATGTTTGACCCTTGGAATTACGACATTTTGGATCTGAATGTCTCTATTTCTATTTAATTCATGTAGATTTTTTTTTCAAAATATATATATATATATATATATATATGTGTGTGTGTGTGTGTGTGTGTGTGTGTGTGTAAAAATATATAGAAAATAGGAAAGAACTCGTTAGGTAAATAATCCAACAAAGTTCTTTAGCATTTTTGTTATTATTTTTAAAAAATAGTGCTTGATACAAAAGTAGAGCATAAATATAATTATTTATTTAAAAATATGATTCCATCGCTACATAAGAGTTCTCATGTTTCAAAACAAGAGTTTAAAAACTTCAATATAATTATTTAAATTAAACTGAATAAAAGTACCAAGCTCTGTTCCATCTTCAAGCGATTTTTTGGGGGCGCTTGAAGATGGAACAGAGCTTGGTAATTTAATTCAATTTAATTCAAATAATTATATTGAAGTTTTAAATTTTTGTTTTGAAACATGAGAACTCTTATGTAGCGATGGAATCATATTTTAAATAAATAATTATATATATATATATATATATATATATATATATATATATATATATATATAATCTGTGATAATCACGTTTATCAGCCAATTTCAGATCGAAATTTCAAGTTTGAAACAAAGAAAATAAAATCAACTGCGTGTAATGACAAAATTACGCAGCTGTAGTCTTTGAACAAGCTTTATTCAACTGAGAATACAAGGTTCACGTATAGTGTCCTTTTATAGTCCCAGTAAACAGAAATAGCTCTCTCAAAGAGGAGAGTAACAAAATAAGGTTGGGACCACTTCTGATTATTTATAACACTGCGTATGTGAAAGATGAATTCGGCCTTGACTAAAACAGTCAATTTAATCTATGAATCAGAAACCAGTCATTACTGGATGATTCTTGGTCACTGCAAGCGTTTCTTTTTCATTATTGTACAAGGAATCGTTTATAAAGTTATATTCAATTTATTTCGTTTGCAAGTGTTTGGCAAATATTGAGCTGGTTGATAAAAATCTTTTATATTCATTTTTAGCTAGTATTTTTTTAATCTCAACTACAGTTACTTCCAAATGCATTTAAGTTAAACATGTTGACATTTTCACTCCACCAGACAGAAATGTGGAGGTCCATTTAAAGAAAATGAACGGAGATTATAGATTATCTTTATTCTGAACATAATTATCTATCTATTGCTTTATTTCTTTCTTTTTTCTTTTTTTTTTTTTTACTCAGACAAACCATGATCGCCGTCATAGCGCATTGATTAGTATGCAGTACCATTAGTACTTAAGAGAGTTCGTTCTCTGTTTACCCTTCTGTACTGTTGGTTGTGTACTAATGAAAAGGTACTAGTCATGTTCTTAAATAGCCTCGTCAGATCGAGATTTTGTATGGATATCACGTATGGCGCCAAAACGGTTTAGAAACTGTCATCTGTATACAACCGCTTTCTCAGAGCAATTGGTTAAAATGGCTTTGAGCAAGAGAAGCCAGTGCTTCTTGGCGAAGAACATCCTCTTTTGAACATTGTTGACTGGCGTCACAGAATCGGAAATAAGAGAACTGTACCAAATAATGGGAACAATATCACTTGGGAATATTTAACAGCTGAAATGCATAGCGCATTTAAATCAAATAGAAAATAATGACATAAACAACACATTGACGTTCCAGACGAGTTCAAACAAAAAAAAAAAAAAAACTTAGAAAGGAAATACGAGAAGGAACGATAACAGCTACTGGACTTGAGAAACCTCTTTTCCTGAAAAATTGTTTCAAGACAATGATTTTATAAATTTCAACTGACTGCAATACTAGCTGCTCGGTTACTGAAAGTAGACTGTTTCCTGATAAGGAAATTACTATTATTATAATTACTATTATTTAGATATTTCCCTAGAAGGTTTTAATTTTAATATTCAAACGTTATTCGTACACACATTAATATAAAGCCTATTTAAGATTTTTATACTGGATTTCCCTCAAGTTGGTGAGTTATTGTTAAAATGGTTAGGATGAATGAGGTGTGATATGAATAAAAGTGGCTATGGTAGGAAGTCATGATTAAGATTGTGTAGGAGATAGATAAGGATTGTCATTTGACTTGAAGGAAGATGATATATATAAATGGAAGATGATATATATATATATATATATATATATATATATATATATACCTACATTTACGTGTGCGACT